ATGTATGCATGTATGCATGTATGCATGTATGCATGTATGCGTGTATGTATGCATGTATGTATGTATGTATGTATGTATGTATATATTTATTTATCTATGTGTATGTGCGTTCATCCAGCCGCTTGTCTCATCTGGTCACCAACCCGTGTCGTCCACTCATGTGTCCAGTTTGCTCGTGTGCGTTTGTCGGTTGCCTTGAGCCGCTGCCTTCTCAGACCGGCCAAAAACACGATCTGACCTCCCTCCTGATCGGTTGCCAAGCTCAACTGGCCGGTCTGCCCAGCAGCTGCGCAGGCTCTACTGATGCCATCCGTACAGTCTACCAGACCGCGTCAGAACGATGCGCCTGTGCCCAGCCAAAGTGGACCTCAATGGCTAGGTCCTGTCGACATTTGCGCACCAGGCCAGTACGCATTCTACAGAGCAGAGGTACTGTTGTCGAGCCGATCTCGAAACTCAAACGGTAGGGTTACTTGGTCGCTTAGCTCCTGCACCAAATCACTCCAAATTATCTCCCTCAAATCGGTCTATTAGGCAGCAGGAACCTTCGCGCTTTACATTTTCCGCTCAATCTCTCTTCCGACATGATTCTTTCCAGCTCTACTCAAGCCGGTCCGGTCTGATCTGATCTGGTCTGGTAGGATTCGGTCTAATCTTATCCATTTTCGGCCACCTTTTCTTCTGCATCAGGATTTCACGCATCCGAAGAGGTAAACTCGGTCTTGATAGAAAATTGCCAACGTTACCAAAAGCTTTTCAAAATCCCACGAGTCTCTTTTGACTGGTCAGAGAATTTATCGTTTAGTAACTCTCAGTGGTTGAATCAATCAGCAGAAGACGAATACAGAAATTACCTACGTTCTACAAGTGAGCTCGCCATTCTGAATTTATCTTATTTCTCTCTCGCTCTCTCCTGTGTGTGCGTTTGCATTTTTGTGTGTATTTAAGGCCTATCTCAAAGTATTCAATGAAAGCGTGGCAATGCCCTACCCAATCTTCTTGATCTATACAGTTAGAGGTTCTAGTAAACAGGATATATGGTAGGAACTCTGAGGTCTGCAATATCTTTTTGTTGCTTATTTCCCCTTTTTCCCTTGGAAACTGGGATTGTGAGCTTGTTACTGTAT